CTCTGGGAGACTCTTTAAGTCAGGGAGGGCTAACAAATCCCAAATTACAAATATGAAGAATCAAGTTGGCGGTGGCATTGTGCTACAGCGGGTTAAGCCGCAATGCCAGAATCCCATGTGAGTCCTGGTTCAAGTCCCAGCTGCTCTACTTCCAATATGGAATATGCACTTACTTATTTTTGTGATTACGTTTATCTGATATGTTTTGTCCAAATTACATTTTGTCCAAATGTAATTTTCCTAGTGAAAGTTCATATCAAAGTAAAGGCTTAGATATTCCATAAAAAAATCACTTAAGGGGCCGGCGCTGTGGCACAGAGGGTTAACGCCCTGGCCTAAAGCGTCGGCATCCCCTATGGGCACCAGTTCGAGTCCTGGCTGCTCCACTTCCAATCAAGCTCTCTGCTATGGCCTGGGAAAGCAGTAAAAAGATGGCCCAAGTCCTTGGGCCCCTGCACCCATGTGGGAGACCCAGAAGAAGCTCCTGGCTCCTGACTTCGGATTGGTGCAGCTTCGGTTGTTGCGGCCATTTGGGGAGTGAACCAGCAGATGGAAGACTTCTCTTCCTAACTCTCTGCTTCTCCTCTCTCTGTGTAACTCTGACTTTCAAATAAATAAATCTTTTTTAAAAATCACTTAAATGACCTGCTTCCATGCTTTTCTGGTATTTGGGCACAATTTCACAGCATTTTATTGAATTGCTCTCTCATATTTCTCTAAGTAGTTCTCCTTCCCAGAAAACAAATACATTAAATACGTATTTCAAGTCACCCACCACACTTGACGTGGTGCCAAATGCTAATTAGAAACTAATTATTTTCATTTTTCTCAGCCAGATGATTACTCAATTTCCCTTTTTGTTCAATCCTCCCTCTGCCCAAGCTTTATTGAGATTTAATGGACAAATTAGAAAATATGCTTATTGATACTTCTTGACAGGTTCATTCAATAACTCCCCCCCTTTTAAGACTTATTTATTTATTTGAAATTCATAGTCACAGAGAGAGAGGAAGACAGAGAGAGAGAGAGAGAGAGAGAGAGAGAGAGAGAGATCTTCCATTTGTTGGTTCACTTCCTAGATGGCTGCTTTGGCCAGGGCTGGGCCAGGCCAATGCCAGAAGCCAGGAGCTTCATCCATGTCTCCCACATGGGTGGCAGAAGTCCAGGGGCCTGAACATCTGCATCAACTTTCACAGACCATTAGCAAGAAGCTGGACGGGAAGAGGAGCAGCCAGGACTTGAACCAGCACCCATATGGGATGCCAGCATCCTGGGAAGGTGGCTTTACCCACTACACCACAATGCTGATCCAAGTTTTTTATTATATTTTTTTCCAAACTACAGGTCTTGAAATCCAATTAATTGGTTACAAGCAGCATAGTTTGGTGAACTGCAATTATCACAGAATACATAACAGGTAGGAAGACTCTATTGCTTCAGGAAACTTTTGTGCATTTAAGTGTGTGTATGTGCCATGGGTGGGTGTTTGTGTACCAAATCCTAGTTTAAGTTTATAACTGGCCACTGTAAAACAAAGTTTGAAAGCAAATATCCAAACTGATATTAAGATATTCATCACTGGCCATTTTCACTCATCATTCTGAAGATATCGACAAAGCAACTCTTGGTGACAATGGAATATTTTCTAATTTGCCAAAACTAACACTGACTAGTAGTCTTTCCCTCCTTTTATTTATTTTTTTAATTTTTAATTTGATTTGCCTCACTTACAGCGCCATCTAGTGTATTACGAGGGGAAGCACTTCATGGAATTTAGGCAGTCCCGAAGTTACTTTCTCATAGCCAAGATGACACTCATATAGAATTCAGTCCAAACCAAATTTGCAAAATATAAATATTAAACAGGCATGGGCCATGTTTCTAAAGTATGAATTCTCAGGCTGGCGTTGTGGCATAGCAGGTTAGGCTACCAGCTGCGACAACGCTATCCTTTGGGGTCATTTGGGGAGTGAACCAGCAGATGGAAGGTCTCAATATCTCTCCTCAACCCCTCACTCGCCCTCTCCCCCTCCCCTTCCCTCTCCATTATTTTTTCAAATAAATAGTTTTTAAATAAAAAAGAAAATAAATATAATAAATATACAAATTCTGAAGCTCTTGCTTGGGGTTTAGGTTCAGAATTTTAGACGTCAAGAAGCTGCCTGGAGAGCCTGGGTCTCCGGACCCTCAGGATCCGAAGAGCTAAGGGATCTGCTCCAAAGCCTGCAAGTATCTAGGAACAGAACCCTGGCTCCTGGGCCAACTCTTCAGTCTCCTTCAACAACTCCCTCTCTTCATTCTCCACTCCCACCCTTCCACATTCACTCTAGATCAGAGAGAAGTCACTATTTTAATTTGCCAAAAACTGTGTGCCACATTAGCCAAAAACATATTAGTGTGGTTACTGCCAATCTTCATTAGCTGACCTGACATAGTAACAAATGATATCTCTCAAAATTTCTCAGGTCTAATATCTCACCGTATTAGTGACCATTTGGAAGCAATTATCAGCTAATTTCCTGCTGCACCGAGTAGTGTATATCATAGGAGATTCTGCATGTTAATTGCTGAATAGTCACAAAACTGCAGAAAATAAACCTAACCCAGCCCACATGCATGAAAGCTCTTTGAAAAAACAAGGGTTGGAATGCACCTTAAGGGTTTTAGAAACTATCTACATTTTAAGAGACTACCCTTGACACTGACTTTCCCCATTTCTAATGATTTCCATATCTCTCCATAGTTAGAGGATCTAATTGCAGTGTCTCGTAATCACATGGGTCAAAGCAATGGAAGAGAGAGAGACAGCAAGAGTGAGAGCAAATATTTGTCCTCTATGTCTATGGTCTCTCCTTATAAAACCATCATGGGATTCATCATAGAAGCCCCACCCTACCAACTTAATCCGTTCTCAACCACCCCACCCTTAATTGGAATAGGTTACGACACTGAATCCATGCCTTTAAGATTTTGGAGATAAATGATTCAACACAACCACCTTTATAGGAAACCCAAACCTGTATCCAAACCATAGTAAAACTCAAAGGAGTTCCAGCCAGGTCTTCAATGTGGACGGCAGGGGCAAGGTACATGGGCCATCTTCGGCTGCTTTCCAAGGCGCATTAACAGACAGCTAGATTGGAAGAGGAATAGCTGGGACAAAAACAGATGCTCCCATATGGGATGCTGGCATCACATGCAATAGTTAACCCAGGAGCCACAACATCAGCCCTGCAAATTCTTTTTAGAATCCTTGTAGTTGTTTAAATAATGAACCATTAACCCAGTGAGCACAAGTGATCAGGATGGGGAGGGATGGGAAACTCCAGTGTGGGGGGTGGAGGGACATCCGGATGCTAAATAAATTTGAGAAGTGTTGTCTGTATTCTTCAAAAATACAAGCAGCTTAACAAAGAGGCTTGTGCAGTTTTGAGAACATTCCTGGAGAAGGACAGCTGTTCCCACTCCAATCAAAAGTCTGTTCATGGCCTTCATGAGTAGAATCACATAGTTTGCCAAAGAGCACTGATCTCTAAGACAGATGAGATTAAAGGATGGTTCAGTCCGTTAGAATTCTGTTTGGTGATCAGACCACTTCAAAACTGGTTTTCTACCATGCCAGTCATGAGGCTGCTGGCACTTGGGGTCACCAGCCCTTGGAAAAATAGTGTCCCTTTTACTTTAAGACAAGTTTGGTGGAAATGTAGAATTTAGTGAGAGTAGAAAAGAGATAGAGATAAGAAGCTACTACTCAAACACATAGGTGAAAAATATGTGAGATGGGCTTCAGATACCTGAAACACAGAATGTGGTCTTAAAAACTTGTTAATTAAAGGAGTAAAGTTCGCCAGATATACAACATCTTTCTGCCCATGTAATTCAAATTAGCATTGAAAATGATCTTCTGAATTAAAAAACTATGAATGAGACACCCACAAATGGTCAATTTCAACTGTAAGAAAACCGGTGCCCCTACAATGGACACAATTAGATGCTCAATTAATTTCTGTCTACCAAAGAAAGGAGGCTCCGAAGTGAACATCTAACCGAGGGGTCTCATTTGCCTGTTTCAATAATCGGGCTGTTTTCTTCTTCCTTCATTTCCTTGGTGGGCTATTGTGCCACAAGAATGCTTCCATTATCAGATTCAAAATTGAATCCTATGATACTGTAGCCTGAGGAAAAGGAAGCATTGAATATCATTCCCAGTTTTAGGCCCAGAAGATACTTAGGAAATGTCACTGTATATACACCACATGCAACATTAGTGCTTTTAATTTCCTTTTTACGGGTGCAATGGAGATTAATTTGCATGCGCTCGTTTCAATTTCTGTAATAAGATCTGATTTTTGCATTAAGCTTTCCATCTCAAAAACAAACAGTTAAAAAGGACACATCTCTTCTTTCAAATGTTTTTATTATAGTTCTATTTTACAGTCCCTGCATCTAATATTCACTTAAAACCTTCAAAATATACATATATACCCGTAGGTTCTAATTTGTTATTTTGTTTGTTGCCTGATTCTCTATGGATTCTCCCAAAAAACTTCTTGAATTTCAAATGCTACACAACCTGACAAAAAATGAGAACTATCAAAAAACAGTGACTACATATCCAGGAAGAATACTTATCATATTAAAAAGAGGGGTCAAGCCGGCGCCGTGGCTCAATAGGCTAATCCTCCACCTTGCGGCGCCGGCACACCGGGTTCTAGTCCCGGTTGGGGCGCCGGATTCTGTCCCGGTTGCCCCTCTTCCAGGCCAGCTCTCTGCTATGGCCAGGGAGTGCAGTGGAGGATGGCCCAGGTGCTTGGGCCCTGCACCCCATGGGAGACCAGGAAAAGCACCTGGCTCCTGGCTCCTGCCAGGATCAGCGCGGTGCGCCGGCTGCAGCGGCGGCCATTGGAGGGTGAACCAACGGCAAAGGAAGACCTTTCTCTCTCTGTCCACTCTGCCTGAAAGAGTTACTGAGAGAGACAGATACACACAGAGGGGTCAAAATTTGTCAACTATGCTCAGGAACACAGGGACAAGTGCTAGATAAAAAGGGGTGTTAGTTTTAAATAATAAATAGAATTCGCAAGATATATTTCGATTTCAGACCAGGCTGTACAGCCCAATAAACACAGTACACATGAACAACCAGTTATTAAAGCACTGAAAAACCTTAGAATAGGAATCTTTGTCTTTATGTTACCAAAACTCATGCTTGCACACTATGAACCCTGGCAAAACAACTCCACAATGAAGGGTGGCAGAGGAGCCGGTCTGGTACCCATGGCATCCTCCCAGTTGAAAGCAGAGGGCTAAACCCCCTTTCAAACAGGAGCAGGGGAATGATGGGGTCTGGCTCAGGCTCTAGGACTAACGTTCAGGTCATCTGAGAGAAGAGAAGGAGCATCCCTTCCGTCAAGAAGAATGGCTCCGTGGCCCACTGTCTCCCACGATGGGATGGGATGGGATAGGGCAGGTCGGGGCAGGGCGGGGCGGGGCGGGGCGGGGCGGCGGACACCAGCCACGGGGCCGACTTGTGCCCTCAGGCGCTGATCCGGTGCACGGCACACCACACCACGGAGGCCCCTCCACGGAGGGGAGGCCCCAATGCCTTGGCTTCTATCCAAGGCTGCGACTCCAGGGGGGCCTGGGCTGTTGAGTTTCGGGGCGGGTTCCCGTCCCGGAGCCTCTCACTCTTCGGGGACTTGGCGCGCGTTTCCCCGACCACCCAGAGCCCCTTGCCGCATCTCCAAGGGGGAACCACAGAACTGCTGGAGCAGGACCCTGGGCAGGCTCGGCCTTCACGGTGGTCCCGACTTGGACTTGGAGGCCAATGGATCAATCAGGAGCGAGGAGGGCCTGGGGCAGTGGGCGGGGCAGCGCAGGGCCGGATGCCCTGGTCGTCCATCAGGGCGTGGCCCACCGGCGCCCGCAGGGGGTGGAGCCTAGGGCTAGTTAAGGCCAGGGTCTGCAGCCAGAGCGCTGGAGCCAGCAGGCACAGCGCACCACCTGCACCCGCGGCCCTGCCACCCGAGGGCCCAGGAGCAGGCCAGCCCAGCGGCGCTCAGCAAGACCCCGGCGCCCCGCAGCCAGCCAGCCAGCCGCTGCCCCGAGCCGGGCCACCCACAGCCATGGAGGCAGAATGGCCGCTGCAAGAGGTCAGGCGGCTGCACGCACGCCTGGCCGCCAGCACCAAGCCCCGGAAGCTCCACAAGTATCTCAGGAGACTCTCGGCCCTGCCCATGACCGCCGACCTGCTGGCGCAGACCCGCGTGCGCAAGACCGTGAAGGCCTTGCGAAGATACGAGATGGTGGGCAGCGTGGCCAGGGACCTGGCGGCCCAGTGGAAGCAGCTGGCTCGCGCGCAGCCAAGCCCTGGGCGGGCCCAGCAAGACTCGCCACCCAGCCACTCGCGCAAGCGGCCCTGGGCTGCTCTTGACGACGACGACGAGGACGACGAGGTCGAGGACGACGAGGACGACGAGGAGGACGAGGACGAGGACAACGAGGAGGAGGAGGACGAGGAGGACGACGAGGAGGAGAACGAGGAGGAGGAGGAGGACGACGACGACGAGGAGGAGGAGGAGGAGGAGCACGAGGAGGAGGAGGAGGGGCAAGCAGACCGAGGCGCCCCAGAACCCGGCACGGCCGTCGGCAGCCAGCCCGCCAAGCCTGCCCACGCACACAAAAGGCCCAGGAGGCTCTCCGAGCTCGAGCCGCGCACACGCGCGTCTCCTTGGCGCCCGCGCCAAGCCTTGCCGCGCTCTGGCCGCCCAGCCCAGGAGTCGGCGGACACTTCCACTTGGCACGAGGAGGACCCGGACCCTGCCCCTGCCGCGGGCCTCCGCCAGCCTGCAGAGGGACCCGCGAGGGCCCCGCACCACGGCGCCAGCCCCCTGCCGCAAGAACACTGGGAAGAAGCCCAGGGCAAAGCGGCGCGGAGCCAAGGCCAGACCCACAAGTCGACCCCCAGGGAGAACGGCCCGCTGAGGGCCAAGGCAGGGGAGGCGCCTCCCGCCTCCCTCGGCCAGCTCTCCTCCCGCGAGGAACACGGCGCCAAGGGGAACCCCCCAGCCTCGGGGGGCCCGGCGGAGCAGGCCACAGGGCGCCCCCGCACTCCACTTTGGTCCCTCCCGCAGCTGGCTGCAGACGAGCTCGGCAAGGCCAAGCGCAAAGACCCGCGGGCAAGCCGGGCAGAAAAGACCCGGCAGCACCCCCAGAGCTGCCAGCTCCGAAGCGGGCCAGAAGACCCGCGGCCCGGGCTCCAAGACAACTCCAGCCACGTCGAGGCCGCACACGCCCACCTGGCAGCTCCTGCTTTGGCCAGCGCGTCCGGAGGCCTCCTCCCGCAGGCTGAGGCGCAACCCAGCGGCGGCGGGCAGGAGCCACCGCACCAGCCCACCATGTCCTTTGAAGCATACATGACCTACGACCAACTGGAGAAGCAACAGAGCAAGGCGGGGAGACCTTGGGCCGCCGCCCTCCGAGGGAAAGGACCTCAGCGAGCAGAGCCCCCAAGCCGCGGTGCAGGAGCCGACTGGCTGCAGAAATGCCCTGAGGTGACCCACAGCCAGCAAGGGAAGCTGCAGCCGGCTGGGGCCCATGCGGCCGAGCTGCAAGACTCGGCCCCTGCCGCCGCGCCCAGCACCCACGCCAGGGATGGTCCCTCTCACCCACTGCCTTCCTGCCCACCCAGGACAAAAGCGCCCTCTGCCGCCCAGCAGGAGGAAGACGCTGCATTTTCGGGTCCCAGATTCCAGACCAAGATGCAAGTCGATGCAGGTGCCAGGCACGCAACCCGAGGGATGACGGAGAGCCCAATGTGCATCGCGGGACTGGAACCCATCGCGTCCCCCTCTGCTGGCAGAGGAGTCCCTCCTCACAGCCTCCCGGGACCTCTGCTGGAGCAGCACACGCCTGAAGAGCTGCAGCGTGTAGAGAGAGACAACCCCGAACTCCTGCAAGAAACGGATCCCTTATGGAAAAGGCACTGTCAGCGAGACTTCAAGGGGGAGAAACCGGCGGGGTTGCAGATGTACCTGCGCCTTCAGAGCGCCCGAGAGCGGCGCCTGCAAGCGCTCACGGCCGCCATCCGATCTACACACGCCAGCAAGCCCAAAGGCCGGCAGGCCAAGATGATCCGTTTCCACGGGATGCCCGGGCCTGCTGGGGATGCTCCCGGGAGGCAGGACGCGCTGCACACAGCAGGAGCCAGTGCCCCGCGTGCCCCGGGCCCCGCAGGAAGCGACCGGGCTCCTTCCTGCAGCAGCACCCAGCACAGCGACAGCAGCCTCTCTCCCCCTCCAGCGGACAGGCCAGCCCAGCCGGGCCCAAGCAAGAGACTTGCTCCCTGGGCGCCTGGGGGCACCACCAGAAAGCAGGCACCGCCTGGGGGCAGCACCAGAAAGCAGGCGCCCAAGAAAATCGCCCCTCTCATGGCTAAAAGCATCCGAGACTACAAGGCACTCTCCCGCAGGTGAACCCAGGACTCAGCGTGGACACAGAGTACGGCGAGTGGCGGAAGTCAAGGCAGTGTGCGTGGGGCCAGGAAACTCCCAAGAGAAACCACTTTCCATCAGTCAGTCAGTCAGTCGCTCTGGGGGAACAGTGGGTGGGCTTCCAAGCCTCTCCTGGGATCCTGCCTGCCTGCGGGACACTTGGATTTGGAGGGTGGTATGCCTTAGATTCCCCAAGGTGATTGGGATCAACTGGCCTCGAGTTATTCACTGGTTGCTTTGTACAGCATGCAATGGTTGGAGTGAATGCGTATTCCTGGATTGGACATGGATGGACTAATAAAGACGTAAAGCACTCAACCTGGACCTCTGTGTGTGTTTCTGTGTGTGCGTTTCTGTGTATCTCACTCTGTGTGTGTGTGTGTGTGTGTGTCTGTGTGTGTGTGTTCTCCTTCTTGGAAACAACCCCGGTCTCTCGAGTCCTGGCTGCTCCACTTTCGATGTGGATCCCTGCTAAAGACCTGGAAAAAGCTGCGGAGGGTGGAAAAAGCTGCGGAGGGTGGCCCAAGGGTTTGGGTCCCTGCAGCGACATGGCACATCTGGAGGAAGTGCCCGGCTCCAGGCTTCAGCCTGCTCCAGGGCTAGCCACTGCAGCCAACGGGGGAGTGAACGACCAGAAGGAAGACCACTGGGTCTCTCCCCCTACCTGAACTCGGACGGCCAAACAAATAAGGAAATTCGGAAGGAAGGAAGGAAGGAAGGAAGGAAGGAAGGAAAGAAAGAAAGAAATTAAGTAGAGAGAGAGAGAGAGAGAGAGAGGTGGAGTGGGGGGAAGGGAAGGAGAAGGCAGGAAGGCAGGAAGAAAAGAAAAAGTGTCCTGTATCTCTCTCCAGGGCAAGTGGCATTTTTCTGGTTCTGTCTCCTGATGACCCCTCCTGTTCCTCTTCTCTTGGTGCACCTGTGCTCCTGGAGCTCCTGAGGCATCTTTAGGCTCGCCTCTTGTCAAGGTCTTGTCTCCTACTCTCATCTTCTCGGGCATTTCCGGATCGCTGGATTTCCACTGTCCCAGTGTGGTGGGTCACCTGCTCCTGTTTCTTAGCACTTTCTCATCGGAGGCCAAGCTTGGCAAGAGCTGCATTAGACTGTTTTCTGGGATGGGTGTCGTGTTTTCGGGACACACATTCTGGCACAGGGGGTTAAGCTGCCGCTCGAGAGGCTGGGATCCCATCTCCAAGCCCCTGTCCAATCCCCGTTGCTCTGCTTGCGACCCAGCTTCCTACAGTGACGCCCGGGAAAGCGGCAGGACGTGGCCCAAGTCTTTGGCTTCCTGCCGCGCAGGGCGAGAGACTGCCAGGGAGTTTCTGGCTCCCGGCTGCCGTCCGCACCTGCCCTGGCCATTCTGGTTGCTCGCTGGGACCAGCCGGTGGAAGACCTCTGTCTTCTCTGTCACCGTCTGTCTGAGAAAGACAAGAAGCCTTGCCCAGAAGAACGAGGTGGTTTGTTTGCTGAAGCTGAGGGTTGGCTTCGCTCCACGTCAGCTGCACCCACTCCCAGCTTCTTCTCAGCTCCGGGAGAGAAGGGGGCATGGCGAGCGCCTTTCTTCTCGGGCGCGCTTTGCATGCCCTGAAGGCGCAGCCTTGCCGAGATCTCTGCTGAGGGCTCTGCTCTTCCATCCGCTTCCTCCACTCAGCCGGGCCCGAAGGAACCGGCCCCCCACGCCACGTGAGCGGAACACGGGCGGCTGTGCCGCTCGCGAGCTCGGGGCTCCCAGGTACCGGGTCGTGCTCGGCTTTGCGCCGGCACTTGACGCGCCTGCGCTTAGGATCAGCAACCCCCACGGAGGAATCCTAGAGCTCTTGCCTCCCACAGCCCCTTCCGCTTGTCTGCTCTGCCTTCTCCGTCCCTTGGGAAGGGCTTGGACCATCTCTGGGTTCCAATGGGATGCCAATGCCTCGGGCAGCAGCTGAACTCGCCGCCCCAGTTCTCTGGCCCTTCCTTGCCCAACTTCACCACCTGAATCTCCCCCACCCCCACCCCGGTTCCATCAGCAGCAGCAGCAGCAGCAGCAGCAGCAGCATCGTAGGCTCCTCTCAGGTTCAGCCCCGTCCGTGTCCCACCCCCCAGTGGAGCGCCTTCTCTCATGATGACAAGTTCCAAGTCTATCCATCAGCCCGTAGGGGAAAACAGTGGATCCCGACATGTAGTGCCGTGTTCTGCTTCGCCCAGCGGGGTACCCATGGCATCCTCCCAGTTGAAAGCAGAGGGCTAAACCCCGTTTCAAACAGGAGCAGGGGAATGATGGGGTCTGGATGGGGTCTGGCTCAGGCTCTAGGACTAACGTTCAGGTCATCTGAGAGAAGAGAAGGAGCATCCCTTCCTCCGTGGCCCACTGTCTCCCACGATGGGATGGGATGGGATAGGGCAGGTCGGGGCAGGGCGGGGCGGGGCGGCGGACACCGGCCACGGGGCCGACTTGTGCCCTCAGGCGCTGATCCGGTGCACGGCACACCACACCACACCACGGAGGCCCCTCCACGGAGGGGAGGCCCCAATGCCTTGGCTTCTATCCAAGGCTGCGACTCCAGGGGGGCCTGGGCTGTTGAGTTGCGGGGCGGGTTCCCGTCACGAAGCCTCTCACTCTTCGGGGACTTGGCGCGCGTTTCCCCGACCACCCAGAGCCCCTTGCCGCATCTCCAAGGGGGAACCACAGAACTGCTGGAGCAGGACCCTGGGCAGGCTCGGCCTTCACGGTGGTCCCGACTTGGAGGCCAATGGATCAATCAGGAGCGAGGAGGGCCTGGGGCAGTGGGCGGGGCAGCGCAGGGCCGGATGCCCTGGGCGTCAATCAGGGCGTGGCCCACCGGCGCCCGCAGGGGGTGGAGCCTAGGGCTAGTTAAGGCCAGGGTCTGCAGCCAGAGCGCTGGAGCCAGCAGGCACAGCGCACCACCTGCACCCGCGGCCCTGCCACCCGAGGGCCCAGGAGCAGGCCAGCCCAGTGGCGCTCAGCAAGACCCCGGCGCCCCGCAGCCAGCCAGCCGCTGCCCCGAGCCGGGCCACCCACAGCCATGGAGGCAGAATGGCCGCTGCAAGAGGTCAGGCGGCTGCACGCACGCCTGGCCGCCAGCACCAAGCCCCGGAAGCTCCACAAGTATCTCAGGAGACTCTCGGCCCTGCCCATGACCGCCGACCTGCTGGCGCAGACCCGCGTGCGCAAGACCGTGAAGGCCTTGCGAAGATACGAGATGGTGGGCAGCGTGGCCAGGGACCTGGCGGCCCAGTGGAAGCAGCTGGCTCGCGCGCAGCCAAGCCCTGGGCGGGCCCAGCAAGACTCGCCACCCAGCCACTCGCGCAAGCGGCCCTGGGCTGCTCTTGACGACGACGACGACGACGAGGACGAGGTCGAGGACGACGAGGAGGACGAGGACGAGGACAACAACGAGGAGGAGGAGGAGGAGGAGGAGGACGACGACGACGACGAGGAGGAGAACGAGGAGGAGGAGGAGGACGACGACGAGGAGGAGGAGGAGGAGGAGCACGAGGAGGAGGAGGAGGAGCAAGCAGACCGAGGCGCCCCAGAACCCGGCACGGCCGTCGGCAGCCAGCCCGCCAAGCCTGCCCACGCACACAAAAGGCCCAGGAGGCTCTCCGAGCTCGAGCCGCGGACACTCGCGTCTCCTTGGCGCCCGCGCCAAGCCTTGCCGCGCTCTGGCCGCCCAGCCCAGGAGTCGGCGGACACTTCCACTTGGCACGAGGAGGACCCGGACCCTGCCCCTGCCCCTGCCGCGGGCCTCCGCCAGCCTGCAGAGGGACCCGCGAGGGCCCCGCACCGCGGCGCCAGCCCCCTGCCG